TGTGTTTGTGTATATATATATATACCATAAGTGTTCCATATTAATTCCATTAATATTTCATGCCATAAGTTAATAGTATATTATTCTACATATAGTTAAAGAACACAATGTTCTATCCTCCACTTTTACTATGGAATGTTAAAAAGAAGTAAAATCATTTCTTTGTGAGTTTTTTTTTAGGTAACAGGATAACCATTTTCTATATTAATAAACACATGCAATGATATATAATAGGTTCTGTCTATATAATAAATAATTTCCAAGTGAAATCTATAAAGCTTAACACCCAGATACTGCCCTTACTGCTTTAAAAATGTTTCTATCCAGGCAATCCAGCGTTATGAACACACAGGTTCTGTGTGTGTTAATATGGTCTGTTATATGTGTATGTATTCCCATGAGGCATGTTCATTTATCATTAATAAAATACTGTTTTAAAGAATTTTTTCCACAAAATTATGCCTGAACAAAATTGTCCTTGGTAAATCAATGGATTGCAAGAAAAAAAACCCCACAGTAGAGTCAAACTCATTTCTATTGAACTGAGGGATGTGAATAAAAGCTTGTGGGTTGGGCAGGTAAAAAACAGGCGAAAACTTGTCATTTTAAAATTCAGTAGAACCTCATTGTGTGATTGGTATCAAGTGTAATTACCACTTTATAGACATTCTAGATTTTAGGGAGAGAAATGTTCCATAGTTGATAAAAGAGAAATATACTTGATCCATATTGTAAGTATTTTTCATAGGATTTTGTTGAATTTCTTTAAGATGTTATGGTAACAACATATAGACTGCTTCATATACTGGCACAGGTATTATTTGGATATCTAGGTTGATGTTGCAGATACAGGTAACATTTGTGAAATGTGTAAAACAGTAACTTCAAAGAATAAATTATTTTTTAAAATACGGCAACTTTCCAGTTTGAATGGTAAGTAGTATTGATAGCCACCTATAACAAAAATATACGGTATTTGAGTAATATTAATATGTGATTATCTATATAATGTAATTAAATTTTGTACCATTCTCAACTGATATAGCCTCAACTCCTGATACTTTTGTCAATTCACAGCTCAAATTGCTTTAAATGACAGACATATTTCATATTTTGATACACTACCATATAGCCATGCATCTGATAAAATTTGCACAGAGAAAAGATTTTAATGTTTTGCTATGTTTTAATACACTTCAAATGATTTTTCTTTAGTCAGAAGGTCATTAGTTTTTAGAAGTTTAAAGTAAATCATCCTCTTTTATTACAATTCAGACATTTAAAAATTTCTCAGAACTGTCAGACTTTTTCAACCAGCCTTTAAAAGTTTAATCAAATAATTTTCTTCTAATACAAGTCAGATATTTTAAATTTTTTTCAGGAGTGGCAGACTTCTTCAATCAGAAGAACAATGTTCTAAAAACATGTATGAGATCCATGTGTGTAATCATTCTTGATATAACAACATTCACCTTTTCCCAAGCAGAGAAACCTTTTGTATTTCCTTCTCCTTTCAGGAGAATGACAAACTGTATTAACACTATTATAAACAATGTGTATATAGTACATAGACAATATGCATATGTACATTACACACAATGTATTAAAATACGTTATATTATCTTTTACTTTTAAAGGGCGTGTCACAGAACAGGAAACTGATACAATGACACTTGTTTCTTAAAAGAAGCTGACTGAATCCTTCTGTAGCACATTACCCCACAATTAATGGCTTTAAACAAAAGTTACAAGTCACAAGTTCTTATGTTTTGGATTATGTTGTGGAATGTATTCCAAATGAAAAATGGAGGAGAAAGTGCACAACATCATATGCTTCATGGTATGGCATATACATGTCAATTATTTTTACATATAATTATGTGATGAATGATACAATTAAGAGCTATACTACATAATGCATACAGTTATTATTATAAAAAGTTATATATTATGCCACAGTACTAAAAATAAAATATATTCTTCTCAAATAGTGAAAATAAGATATCCTTCAATGTTTTTAGGTCACATATGCTTCCTCGTTTGACCATACCTCTGTTTTTCTTTTTTAATGAAATAATTTCATGAATTATTAAACAATAATGACAGAGTATGGGCAATTTCCTGACCATTAATGGCCTACAAAAAGTGATAAGACGATTACCTTGTCATGAATTTGCTGAAATACCCTCCTGTTGCATTCAATGCATGATAAAAATATTAGAATAAAAGACAAATAAATATAAATACCTTCTGTTATTGAACAATCAAAAGTCCAGTCGAGTGGATACACATGGTTGCTGTGCCCTGAGTAGGTACAGCAACTAACCTTGTATCACAGGTGTTCCCCATAGCCCACTCCCCGCACTCCACCTAATTGTGAAACACCAGCTGTGACTATTTGCTCGATCAGGAAGACACTGAGGGATTTTTTGGGGGTCTGCCGCACAGAAGCGATTCCACCATACCCAAGTGGCGCTCTCCCACACCCACGTGCAGCAGTCCCCGGTCGCAGCTGGTCCTCAACGGCTCCTCACCCTCTGCCCACCCTGGGAGACCGTGACCTGTCCAGGTGGCAGGTAGGGAAAGGAGAGGAACTGCACTCCTTTCTCCTCAGCCCTAAAGACCGCCCTTCTCTCGACGCACCAAAGGGCTCACAAGTTCTCTTTGACTGGGGAAGCAGGCACTTACGAGTGAACCACAATACGAGGCAAGGCAGAGGGCGGGTACGTCCTTCGAAGGTGCGCTCGAGGGTCGCCTGCTGCAGCCGCACCCGCCACACGTGCCCCATGTTTCTTTGAACGGAATGAAACGCAGAGAAACACAAGATCCCGGGAGAACGCGAGGGAGACGAGTGACCCCAACCCGGTTGCGGGGTGCCAGGCAGTTAGGCCAGGGTGCCAGATAAGGTCTGAGGCAGTTGGCAGCGGCACCCCGGCCGTTGCGTGCCACCCGTAGCCCCCAGCCCTGCACCAGCCGCCGATTCCCGAGCGCTCAGATAAGGGGGAAGCGGCCCTCGCCGCCGTCGGGCTCCGCGGCGACCCCGCCTCGGGGGCGGCCGAGCACTGACACTGGCCTGTCTCTTATACACATCTAGATGTGTATAAGAGACAGCACACACACACACACACACTACAGTCATCCCTAGGTATCCATAGAGATTAGTTTTAGGACCCCCTGCAAAGGTCAAAATCAACTTCCTGATATAAAATCGTGTAGTATTTGCATATAACCTATGTGTATCCTCCCATATACTTTACATCTCCTCTGGATGACTTATAACACTTAATACAATATAAATGTTATATAGTTGTTATAACGTATTATTTAATTTGCATTTTTAAAAGCTATATTTCTTAAAAATATTTTCAAAAAATTAAAAAAAAATATTTTCTACCTGCAGTTGGTTGCATCTGCAGATGCAGAACCCACAGATACAGGAGAGCCAACTGTATATATACAATATACATATTTACATATCCAACACCTAAATTTAGAAAATCAATCATTTTTTTTGCATTCCAGATGGATTACAATATGCAGGACCATTATTCCCCTACTCAAGAGAAGTCAGTGAAAATAAAATGTGCTTAAAATGTTTTAGTATTCGAATTACTTTGTAACTGAAAACCAGGAGCAAAAGTTCACTTAGTACTGGAAAACACTGCACGCCCAGGTGGGTTAAGATATATATGCCACAGGCTGCTGGGCAGCATAGTGAGACCTTGTTTCAATGAAA